TCAGTTAAAATAATTTGTGACTTACGTCTTATTTGTTAAATTTTCATAAGATCTCGCTCAATTATTACAAGCACATATCCACGAAGAATCGTTATCGCGATAAAGAAATATGGATTGAATTCATCCCATCATTATCAAAATCAATACATTTGGAATCGATCATATCATCATGCTATCGCCGATAATTCATCACCAAAAAAGGGGGAAAAAGGTTTAATAATGCATTTTTTCAATTCTTGGCACACATATACAAAATATATAAATCATCAATCGATCAGTGATTGTAGCAATGTCTGGAGGCGTAGATTCGAGTGTTACAGCATATTTAATAAAAAGACAAGTAATGCAAGAAGAGGCGAGCGACTGAATTTTTCATTATTTTTTAAAAATAAATCAATTACAATATATATAAATAAAAATAGGGATACAATGTTGAAGGCAGATACATGCGAAATTGGGATACGACTGATGAAGTTGGTGTATGTACCGGTGAACAAGATTGGATAGATGTGCAGAAAGTGTGTGATCAACTGAATATTTCTTGTCGAATGGTAATTTACTCACATTTTCACGTTATTCTTGGTATTGTATACGTCATCTAACATATGACAAAAAATAAAGGTTGATTTCACCAAGGAATATTGGATAAAAGTGTTCACGCGAATTATAGAGGATTATGCAAATGGACTTACTCCAAATCCTGATGTTCTTTGTAATCGTGATATTAAATTTGGCGTATTTTATGAAAAATATTTATCAGAGTCATTATCGTCTCCATCAGAGAGTGGTTGCGATGATGGAAATGTATGGATTGCAACAGGTATTGTGTTAATCTACCAAATATTATAAATAATTGATTAGTCTAAAAAATACCATTTTTATTCACGTGTTTATCCATTGTATTAGGACATTACGCACAAATCGAAAGGGCACCAAATGGTAGAGTTAAATTAATGCGAGGTAAATAACTCGATAATAAATATTAGATAAAAAGCCGGGCTTATTTATTTATTATTAAATTGAAATATCCGAAGGTGCGGACCCGAATAAAGATCAAAGCTATTATCTGTCTACTGTACCTGAGCAACGGCTTCGTAAAGTAATATTTTTAATATTTAAACTTTTTATTAATTATTCATTAATCAATTTTTCTCAAGAAAGCTAAAAAATATCACAAGGTATTATTTCCGATTGGCCATCTTCAAAAACAACAAGTTAAATCAATAGCACGCGACGTTAATCTGTTAACCGCCAATAAAGCAGAAAGCATGGGAATTTGTTTTGTGGGGAATAAGGGGAGAAAATTCGGTGATTTTTTGGAACAGTATATTTTTGGGAAACCTGGTGATATAGTTACTGTTGATGGAGAAGTCATTGGTAAATTACCTTTGTTCTTAGTCAATTGAATTTAAATCTACATGCATGTATTTATATTGTCTTGAAGGAAAGCATGGAGGATTGTTCAAGTATACCATCGGGCAATGCTCAAGAACACATCATGGTCCAGATCGGTGATTTATCAAATTATTTTAAGTGTTAATAACCATAATATTAACGTGAATTTTTATTTATGTTATTATTATCTAATTTAATTTTATAGATGGTTTGTATTGAGAAAAGACAGAGAAAACAATACATTGATTGTTGTTCCTGGTTCGTATGTATCATCAACACCTATGAATTTCTCATTTAATCGGAAATGTTTTTATCTAATTTTTGTATATGATACCAATATACAATGCTCTGATTGTGCAGAACAAACCCACTTTTGTATTCTAGGGAATTGGTTGCACGCGATTGGAACTGGAGCTGGGAAGTACTGCCTGAAAATATAGAAAATGGTTACTATTTTTAGCGATTAATACTTTATTTTTTTTTGATATTATGGGTTCTACTTATTCTTAATGCGTTTTATTATTAATATAGGTATAGATCTACTAGGTCAAGTAAGATCTCGACAAAAAGCACGTAAGTTATAAAGTGGTGAACATAAATTCGTAAATTACGTGGTTGACATATATATGTATTATTGCATTACTTAGAAAAATGCAGGTTGACGTTAAAGTAAGGTTACATCAATTTTTTTTTAGTTTGAATTTATATTCTTAATAACATCCGTTAAAAAAAGACCCGACGGAAAATTAAAAGTGGAATTTGAAGCGCCTATACGCGCAATCTGCCCAGGACAGGTAAAATTTTTCTTTTCATTAAATCTCATCTTATTATATTTGTCATCTCGATTAACTACATTAACTCATTTTTTATTAGAATATTGTTGTATGGGATGGAAATTGGTGCTTAGGCGCAGGGATTATCGAGTCCACAATACCAATGAATACAGATATTTGAGGACTCATCGCTTTATCTAGAATTATGACGATGGTTCCGCAAATAAATTATTTTGATGACAATCTTGTTGTTATGTTGTCATCACTATCAAAATATACGTTTAGATCGAGAAAGATCCTTAACAGCATTATTTTATTTGCGAAAAAATTCACGTGGGCTGATTTACGAGAAACGAAAAGTAGCACATAAATTTTTACAAATTTTGTTATTTACAATCTTCTCCAATAATCGAAGTGCACAGTCATGTGGTAATTTAAGATTT